AAAAAAAAAAAAAAAAAGAAAAAGGCCGCTATAGCTCTATTAATACCTGGTAAAAATAGACTCTTAGGTGAAAAGGGTGAATGGATATGTGTGTGTATATATATATGTGTGTTTGTGTGTGTATACATATTTAATATACATATGGAGAGAGAGCAAGAACATGAGAGCATGTACTAAAAACAACTCAAGAAGAAATCAAGCATCAGTAGTCAAATACAAATATTCAAGAAGCACACATTAGCAACATTACAAACTATTCCAGAGTATAAGAAGAGAAGAAGTAGATTTTCATGTTTCAAGTATTAGCAAATGAAGTTACCAAGCTTATCTCTCTGGCTAGAAAAACTTGAACAAAAAAAACATATGTATATCTTCCTTAAAAGTATCAAAAAAGTAACAAAACAATACAAAACAATAAAGAATTACTAGGCCAAAGTAAAGGAAAAATGAGACCCTAGCTAGACAGGTTAGCAAGCATGGTGGCTAGTCACTTTTGCCCTGAGGACATCTGAGTACCCTCAAAATTAAAACCTTTGTTTTGACTGTCTCTCAAAGGTAAAAATGAACAGAAGTCAAAGCCTAAAGCCCATATAAGTCGGGAAATCTAACAGGAGCCCCTCCCCACAATAAATTGGGACCCCAATATGCATCACAGCAAGGATGAAGGTTAACCAGAAGTGGAACAGCCCACATAAAATTAAAGCTCAGCTTGACTCATCCAGAATTCATCCAGGAATCCCAACCCTTGAAAATTCAGTTTAAATTTGTCCAGGACTTATAGTGTCTTTCAGGCCCTGGTAGATGTAAATGCAAATCTTCTGTGGAGCAAAGCATTTTCACTGTAGGCCTCAAATTATTCCTATAATTTTTCAAATACAATATCCAGTACACAATCAAAAATAACCACAACTCAAGAAACCTAGACTCCATTGGAGCCAGCAAAAGCAAGAGACAACAGAAAAGGATCCTCAAATATTTCAGATATTGAAATTATCATCCATAGACAATAAAATTGTATTTATTATGTTTTAAGTAATAAAAGACAAACTTGAAAATATCAGAGAACAAGAACCTATGAAAAACTAAGATTTGAAAATAAAAATAGTACTTTGAGAAATAAAACATAAATAAATAAAATTAAAAACTCAGTGAGTGGATTTAAAGTAAGTTAGATAAAGTTAAACAGAGTTAATGAGCTGGAAGATAAATAACAAATTATTCAGAGTGAGCAGAAAAACACAAAAAGATGGAAAATACAAACTATCAAGGGTGAGCAACACATATACAGGGAGAAGGTCTAATATACATTAAATCAGTTTTTAGAAAAAAGTGATGGAGAAAATGAAGCAGAGGTAATATACAGAAATAAAGACAGAGAATTTTCCAGAACTGATGAAAGACACCACTCCACTGATTCACGAAGCCTAAAGGATCCCAAAAAAGATTATTTTTTTAAAAATCCACACCAGATACACCCAAGTAAAACTGATAAAAACCACAAAGAGAAAACTTTAGAAGCAAGAGTAGTCAACTGAGGCCGGGAGCGGTGGCTCACGCCTGTAATCCTAGCACTCTGGGAGGCTGAGGCGGGCGGATCGTTTGAGCTCAGGAGTTCGAAACAAGCCTGAGCAAGAGCGAGACCCTGTCTCTACTAAAAATAGAAAGAAATTAATCGGACAACTAAAAATATATAGAAAAAATTAGCCGGGCATGGTGGCACATGTCTGTAGTCCCAGCTACTCGGGAGGCTGAGGCAGAAGGATTGCTTGAGCCCAGGAGTTTGAGGTTGCTGTGAGCTAGGCTGATGCCACGGCACTCACTCTAGCCCAGGCAAAAGAGTGAGACTCTGTCTCAAAAAAAAAAAAAAAAAAAAAGAGTAGTCAACTGAGAACTGACTTCTTGACAGGCAATAATGAAAGCCAGAATGATACTAATATTTAGGTTGAAACAACTGCCAACCTAGAATTCTACACCTAGGAACTCCTTTAAAAATGAATGTGGTCCAGGCATAGGGGGTCACACTTGTAATCCTAGCACTTAGTGAGGCCGAGGTGGGAGAATGGCTTGAGGTCAGGAGTTTAGACCACCCTGAGCAAGAGCGAGACCCCGTCTCTACAAAAAATAAAAAATTAGCTGGGTGTGGTGGTGTGTGCCTGTAGTCCCAGCTATTTGGGAGGCTGAGGCGGGAGGATTGCTTGAGCCCAGGAGTTTGAGGTTGCAGTGAGCTATGATGATGCCACTGCACTCTAGCCCGGATGACAGAGTGAGACCTTGTCTCAAAAAAAAACCCCAAAAAGACAAAAAATGAATGCGAAATAAAGAC